TTGTGCTAAATAATTTATTTCCATTTAAAATTATAATCCATTAATATTCCATTTGAAAATAATAAAAATTAATTAACCATAATAAAAATAACATAGTAAGTTACTTAAATAAAATAAAAAATAATTATTAACTATTTTTATTGATAAAAATATTTTTATTAATGTAATAAAAAGAATTTAATTAATAAAAGGAATCAAATAAATTAAAAAATAATATCAATTTAAAATTAATTCAAAATTGTCCAACATTGATATTTTTATAATTAAAATTTAATAATGGAAAACCAACTTAAGTTCCTCTAAAAAAATTATATAAGAAAAACTTAATATACTTAATTAAATTTAACTTTTACTAATTTCAAAAATTAATAAAAAGTATTAATTTAAATACAGTTCAATTATTTTAAAATCAATTTAAGTTCCATTTAAAAATTAGGAAAATTACAAAAACCCCCCTTGGGTTTTCTATTAATCCTATAAAACTCACTAGTATTTTGACCTTAACAAAAACCTCCCCCATTGCTTTGAGAAAAAGGGAAAATACCTTCCATTCGTTAGCATTCCAAATTAAAGATGTTGATGTAATGAATTAATCTTACTTCACTTCATCTTTTTTACCTTGCATTGTCCAAGAAGAGTAAGAAGAATCATTCTTTGAAAGTTGTCTAGCAAAATAAATTAGTGTAGGGTAAAGTTGAAACTTTAAATTGTATATGATAATGCATTAACAATGATAAGGGTATTTTGGTAACTTCAGTGTCTTTGCTACTATAAGCCAAGGGAAAGGAGGTATTTGCACTGTTTTTTCAAAAATATAGGGCAGGCCTTTGTTAGGTTCAAAACACCGAGGTGGTTTATAGAATTGTTATAAGAGGATTTTTTTTATAATTTACCTAAAAATTATACAAAAATAGTAATAATCTAATAAAAAATTAATTTTCAAAAAAAATAATAAGAATTATCATTAAGATACAATAAATAATAGAAATTTATCTAGAGTATTGAAAATTGGCCACTCTTACTAAAACACAACTTAGATTGTGATTGGATAAAATACACATAATAATACTTAAATTGAACTTAGATGGGCACCACTTAATTGAAAATGTCATAGTGATCCATCTTCAATTTTGCTTATAAATAAAAACCGTGCGTCGTGCACCGCACGGGTCCTGACTTGTTGGGCTTAAATTGGTAGCTAAATTTAAACCTACTATGTGAAAGTTTACCTCAAACTCAGCCTATTGTTGGTTGAGCTTGGATGTTCGGGCCCATGTGCCCTCCTTTTCTACAAGCAACATACTAAAACATACTAACATACAGTAAATGGCCCAACCAAACTGGGTTTTTGTCCTATAGCTCATCATGAATGGGCCAAGCCTAAAATGAGCTTGCAATCTGAGTCCAAATTTAAATCTAAGCCCGGTAGCACAAAATTTAGATTAATATAAGCTCCAATTCACCGAACTGTTTGCTTCCTTGGTAACTAATGTGCTGTGATAATGAGCAAATGAAGGCCAGTCTTGACCCACTCTAATATAGTTCAAGGCAGTTGGTTAGGGACAAAGTATATATATAGCGGCTAATAGTTAAAAGATGATTTCATTCAAGCAGCTTATTACATACAATACAAACAGAAAGGCAATAACAGAAGTCACTTAAAAAAGAAAAAAAAAAAAGACAACAAAAGAAAAACCATTTCCTACAATAAAATTCAAAATTAGAACATACAGTAATAGATAATAAGGGATAGCTAGGGAACTTTGGAGGTTTATCCAAACAACCAATTTGGAGATTCTTTGAGCCAAATGAGAGGAATCACTCAGCTGTTTAATTGGGTGTTTAACAGTGCCGATCATTAAGAATACCAAGAAAAGTCCAAAAAGCCCCACCTTCTATGTCACATGCAAGAGATTTAGAGACAGGTAACAGGTCTGGCATTTAGAAAAGACACCATCAGACCTAGATAAGCAAACCTATGGTAGAGGGGATCAGACCCTCTTCCCCATTGGAAATCCCTTTCCCTGCATCTTCCTAGATAAGATAAAATTGAAGTCACTAATTAGAACTTTGTCTAGTACTTGGAGAAAAGCTGTGAGTCTAAAGCAACTTGTTTGATGAAATGTGCATAAAAACCATAGCATGGTACAGTAAAGTATAGGTTGGCAACTTGATCATTTCGGTAATGGTGAGACAAATTATCCGATCCTTCTCTTGACAAGAGTGTTGACAAACCATTATTAAGTAGTTTGAGCTTTTGTTGCTTCTTTTCCCTTAGGCTATATGTTTGGTTTGAAGGAAAAGGTGGGGAAAGGAAAGCAAAGGTAGGGAAATTCATACAAGGTTTGTAAAGGTTTTCCTACCTTTCCTTTCCTTTCCCTACTTTTTCCTTCAAACCAAACACTGTTTTGAATGGTTTTATTTCAATTAATGCTTCCCTTTCAACAACTTGAATGGGGTTTGCCTTACCATTTAAAATTCCTACAATTAATGCTCTACTACCCTAAAGAAGATCAATGTAAGACATTCACTTCTATTGGAACTTGAATAGTTTGTCACATTGTTTTCATCTACTTAACTCATTTAGACTTAGACCCTCCAGACTGAACAGAATATAATTGTTGAGAACACAAAGGAGTAGCATCCAAATTCTATCTGGAATTCCTTTAATTACGAGTTAAACGTTATCCAATCAAGGTGCATTTGCTCTCTATTCAGAATCAACCCTCACCAAACTGCAATAAGAATTCACCAATTGCTCCCACCTCAACGAATCTTCAAAGCCATAGCAACATTCATTAAATTCTCCTTCCTGCAGCACCCTAGCCTTAATCATGTTAGAGGACAAATGATGATAAGGAATGCCTCTTCAACGTCAGTCACTGGTGAACAACAAAGGCATCGGCATGGATGTATTCGCCATAAGGTTTATTCCATTTGAGTTTTGAACCACATATTACATTCTTTTGGTGTAGTCGTTTTGCCTGTGCATGTTTGGACGTGGTGTTTCCTACACCATAGGAATCAATATGTGGTTTAAGCTTTTTGATATTTTATTACAACTCTGTCCTTTTGGTCATCTACTTTTTATCCCCATTAAATGTATCCATACAGTTCTTGGGCATGAAAATCTTTGCAAGCAACATGTGGTATGTCTGAAGAGACTGCAACATAATGTAAAATGACTAGTCATCAATCAAATGCCGAAAAGTTTGCATTGAAAGGAGACTGCTATCCAAGTATTTGAGTGAACCAACTGCACAAGAAGATTGAGAACTAGCACCAGAAGGATGAAATTCAAAGTAGTTGAGGAGTTGCTTCATGATAGCATACTTTTTACGACATCTGAACTTGTGTGAGGCCTCAAGATAAAGTAAAAAAAAAAAAAGAAAAAATGAGGAGCAAGCACGTAATTTAGCACAATATCAACTTGATCCATCATCCACTCTGAAGAGAAAAACCTTAGATTCCATATTTGGTGGCCAAAATGTAGTAGCACAGCAGGGAATAGCATGTTCTGGTTCATCTTATTTGGAACTAGCAAGCCATTATTGAGATCGAGGAGAAATGTATGTGGAGAGCAAGTAGACTTTAGGTTTCATGTACAATGTGAAATTTTAACCGAGGAATAGTAACTAGCTAAACCACTTAAACACCTAGGAGTTCAGCTTCAGGTGTGTATTTGGATAAGGGCGTATGATGGGATTCAGATACAACATTTTAGATATATAGATCAAGTGCTTAACACACCAAAATATTAAGCTGATGGTGAGGGCGCAACTTTATTTCTTTATTGCGGATGGGGATGTTAAAATCTCCCAGCATTATTTACAGAGTTTAACACATCTCCACCCACAATAAAGAAACAAAGTTGTATTCTAACCATCAACTAGCTTCTGGCATAGTGATAAACACTTGGTGGATCTGTGTATGAGTGAGAAGAGGGGCGGGGGGGAAGAAGATGAAAACTTGAAAAACGTCCATCTTATCTAAGGGAAAAAGGAAAAGAACCAAAGAAGACACCAAGGCTCTCTGTCTAATTCTAACTAAATTTGACAAATATATTGTCCAATGTAATCAATATGGATTATAATATACCATCATTTACTATCATTACAAAGAAGAAAATCGAATCAAATGAATTAACTCATCATGATGTACTGAGATGAAAAATCTAATTTGGTTCAAACATGGCAGGAACAATTTTCAAGAATGCCGGATAATCACAATGCTCTAACATCATGGAGTTTCATGGCAGTGGATTTAAACCTACCCAGATAACCCATACAAGAAAGAAAATATCTTTGCTTTTTGAGAGGAAAAGTTAAACAGCTTGGAGGCTTTAACTTGGATACTTGTGATTGATGTGCTGTTACCTCCGATGTAGTATTATAACTTAGAAAATCTCCATGCCCATGTTGCTGTCACCATCACCACATATCCTACACAACCGCAATGCACGGGCGTGTGCAGTTTGGCGTTTCCTTCTGATCTCATGTCAACACCAAGCTTCGTCTATTTTCACTTCACAATAATTCAAAACCATCTCAATTTCCTCCACCAGAATTAGCAGAGAAATTAGCAATAACCCATATCCATGGAAATTGTTTCAAATGGAAAGAAATTCAATTGTATTCTCTCCCTATCACCCCCTCCCTATCAATCTCCCCATCTACATTGGATTTGATTTTGTTGTTGCTTTCTACGGAGACTAGAATGAAAAATTTAAGCCAGAATCACGGTCCAGGATGATTATAAAAACCCCAAATGCGCCAAGAAAGGAAAAGGATGCATGAACCTTGTATTGGATTTCTTATTATATGATGCCAATAGCTTTTGTTTTCCTGCCAGCTGTGTTAAAGCTGTTTCTTTTAGTATCTTCATGAAAAGAAACAAACCAAGTTTTTCTTTTCATATTTTCTAGACCAGTTCAATCGCAGCTGTAAACAATGAAACAATGGATGGGCACAGAAGCAAAACAATAAATAAACAATAGAAAAGAAGAGAAACCCAAATGGGAATGTCTTTCCATCATAAAAGGTTAAAGCCAAAAGCATGAGAAAATGGGCCTGTAAACTTTGTATGAGTTAAAATGGAAAATGAGAAGAAAGAAGGAAACAGAAGCTAGGCTTGACATATATATAGTTCATCTGTACATGCCTGACTTATATAGTCTTCTATTCTTCTCCATCTTGTCTAGCTAATTAATATGGAAGAAGAAAATAAAATCAAAAACAGAAAGAGAAATTAAAGACCTTATTGGCTTTTCAAGCGCTCTGAGGCATCAGCAAGACATCTCATTACATCAATTTGAGCCCTGAGAGAGATAATATAATCAAGAGTCTCCTCTATTAAAGAGAATTCGTCCATGGACTCTCCCCCAGGTACAAGACCTTTCAGCAGTTGTGTTCTTTTCTTCACCATCCGTTTAGCGATGGAGCTCGCTTGCACTCGTTTGGGTGCACTTCTTCTAATCCTACGCAGGCTGCTGCAGCTCCTTCTCAAGATCCTCTTGCTTGTGAACCTCTTGTTACATGAGGAAAATCCGATTGATGATGCCTTCACTAGCCTCTCACACTCACTGCCCAATATCTTCTGAACAAGGATCTTGCTCTCGTTTTGTTTCGATGCATTAGCGATCACTGCGCGACTCCAACATGTCCTTCCATCTCTGGCAGAAGCCATGGCGAGGTCTGCCGACAGCTTGATGGCTTTCTTTCTCTCCGAGATGCCCATGTCCTTGGCCATTGAACAACAGGATTGCAGACCCAAAACCCATTTCTTGAGGAGCTCTTGCTTGAAAGAACTAGGAGAAGCCATGGCTGTGGAAAGTTATGAAATAAACAATTCGAGAAATGAGTCCTAATTATTAAGCATGGAAAATAAGGAGTTCTGTACTTCTAAAGGATACATATATATGTTAAGAGTCTGGTTTACAGTTAACTGCTTTCTCATACAATATACAGTATAACATGAGGGCGAAGGTAAGTTACAGGAAAGAGAACATAGAATTGAGTTTCATGAAATCAGGATTTGACCTACGATTACGATCAACGATGCAGTATTTGAAGTGGATTTTGATCGGAAGGTGAAGTCTAATTGCAGGGGAGAAAGAACCGAGTTTAAAGAAACGAGGATTGCACAGAAGATCATAAAATCAATAAAAGTAGTTGAAAAACAAGGAACATGAATTCAGTTTGCCGGTGGAATCTGGTCTGGAACAATGTTCATGGCTAGCTTTGGTCAAGAGAGAAAATTCTACATACCTTTCTTGCTAAATCCTTTTTCAATCGAACGAGCGGATATAGAAATTAGAAAATCAGGAGATCATGAGTAAAGAAGTCGTAGAGAGTCAGAGACGATCAGTTTTAGAGATCCAACCTAAGTACATTAAAACAGGAGAGGAGAGAGAGAGAGAGAGAGAGAGAGAGAGAGAGAGAGCACTGGGGGGAATATGTAGAAAGCCCATTTATTTGCACAAAGAAAGGAAGTGGTGGGCCCATGAGAGATAGACACACCACATGCATGCACATGGTTCACAAGGCCCACCACCCAAGCCCTAGATATTAAAATATTAGTTTTTATGGTAACAATAAAGCTCCCCTTGAAACCTCCTATAGTTTATACACTCTCACAGTACTACACAAACCTAAGGGACTATCAAAATGGGACAGAGATGGTAGGCCCCAGATGATGATCAAAGGATGAGATGGGGGTTTTAGGGGGGTTCATTACATTTCTAAGTGTGTGTGGTTACATCATTTTTAGGACCCATTTGATAATGAGGAGAAAGAGAGGGGTGTGACTTGTGATTGGCAGGACCCGGGAAACATGGTGATGCCTTGTGGTGGATGGGCCCCACAAGGGAGGGGGAAAATTTTTTTTTTTCTAGTGCACTGATCTTGGCTGAATCAAATTCCCACATGGTGTCCACATGGAAGTCTTGAATCTGTGGACTATGGAGAGTCTCCACACAACTCCAAGTACAGATTTTCCCTCAATAATTGGACATTACTGGCCAGGAAGAAATGCACGTCTAGTTTTGGGAAAATTTTTTTGACTGAGGTGTTACATACAATTGATCTCAGCCGTACGTTAGTGGGTAAGGCTGATTATCTTATAGGGAACCACAATCTTATCTGATGGACCGATGGATAATCTCTTGGAACTGTATTGAAAATCTCGAGAATAAAAAACTCCCAACCCAACTAACATGCATCCAGTGGCCGTGATGTACGGTTCCCTCTCTCTCTCTCACCTCACTCTACTTCGAATACTCTCACTTTCTCTTTCTTTTTCTCCTCCCAGCGCAAACACGCACATCCATCCACTTGATCGTGAGTCGGATGAACATGGGCAATTGTACTCTCCCATTTGGACATTCTATCAATCATGTACAAGACCTCTTGAACCAGGAACAGACTTTGATGATCCTGGTTTCTAGATTTTATCATCACTTATTGTGACTTCCACAATGCAAGAGAATAAGTGCTTTTCTTGAAAACCCAAGTTGGGTATACTCTCTCTCATTGGAGAATTAAAACTAATCTACCTCATAATCAAAGTTTAGTCAATGTGATTAACAGACAAACCCTGACCCTCGATTCTCTATTAATCAAATTTAGCAAAGCACACTGCTTAAGATTAAGTAAATTTGAGGGGACATGATTGGTATGAGGGGCCCAGATAAATTGGGATTAAGGCTGAGATGATGAGTTAAATTGAATTGGGTTGAGTGTTGAGTTGAGCCACTGCAGTTTAGGAGTGTACTAGGTGTCACCAGTCACATGGACTCAAGTGACTGAACCCACAAGTTGAATGGGTTATGGCAGGCAGGCAGGCAGGCAGGACCAAGTGAGCAAGTAAGCTGAGGAGGAGTGTCAAACTGTCAACGCCCGTGATTTGCGCTCACCCTTGCACTCAACTTGTACGTACTCAGTGTTGGGAGCTTATGAGATGAAAATGTGGTTAACTCCTCCCACTCCGCACTTTTTGCACACTGTGGTGGGACCCACCAGTTGTTTGTATGTATGTGTTTCATTTATGTGGCAATGGCCGTGTCCACACGCACACACACATGAACACTGTAGAGTACACATGTGAACACATGGATGGGCTCCCACCTTGCCCCAACAAAGCTCAACAGTCATACAAGCTTCAATGATGAGGGCATCCCAAAAAAAAAAACCTCTTTTCTTTATGAGCCCAAAGGAGAAGAATAGCCCATTTTGTCAAAAACAGCAAACCCTTGTGAAGAGATTGCTTAAGAAATAATCATGTATTATCAAGCCTCATCACTGCTCACATGGGTCCATCAACCCATGAATCAGACCAATTGGACGGTCATGATCGCATGATCTAGAATCAAAACATTACTTGCTTCTTATTTATTTTAGCTAATAACAGAAAATAATGACCCCAATGTTGTGAAAGGAGGGATAGCTTTGTCCTTGATTGTTTTCTTTTGTGCACTAACTTTACAGCCAAAAGTCCATTAGGATCCATTTAATTAGTAATATAGCTGCCCTTAAAACATGGGTGGTTGGTCGCTTCTTTGGTACTCTAGGGACCCCCTCCCCCTCTTTCTTACTCAAGCAACTTCAATTCGTCTTTGATTAAGTTATTAAGACGACCAAATGAACATCAGAAACAGTGCTTGATCCTCACTTTCACACCACTATATATAACGGTTTATAACGGCGCTTACAGCGACAATCACTTTCTAAACAAGGGTGGTTAGCTAATTAAGATTTAAGATGCTGCAAATAACAAGATAATGACGGTTATGAAGGTATAATTAGGGCTATTATATTACATTATATAATGCAACGGCTTGTCCTTTTATACCGTTATAATGCCGTGACCGCCGTCTCCAACTGCTTCAGTGGCTAGTTTTCAAACCAGGATCTTTGATGTGAGATATGAATCCTATATTTATTTGTTTGTTTGCAATATAGTGAAAGAATATATGGTGCGTGTCTTGTTTCTTGTGTTAAGATTCTAGTTTTATGGTTTAATTAATTAATTAGTTGCAAAGAACCATAGATTGGCTTGGCACGTGGCACCCCATGATTAACCCCTGTTTGGAGCATCAGGACCCACCACTCGGAAGGTCTAACCTGTAGGTCATATGAGTCAAAAAAACAGCAAGAGTTAGAGGATTTACTGAATTTTAATTGGATGGTGAAGGAAACTGTCTAAAATTCTAGAAAAGAAAGAGCTATCATTAAAAAAAATGAAAAATTGAATTAGCTAAGTAATGCCCAAACAGGTAACTAAAAATCATCAAACTATGCAATTTTTTGAATGGTCAGTGTTTCATTTGGGACCCACTAAATGACGGGTCGTAAAGCTTGAAACATGGGACTGTTGGAATATGAAGGTCCTAAATGTAACAAACAACAAGCTTAAAAGGATTAACATTCATTGATCAGTGTGAATACATATAAGAAGTGAAGAAGTATTACATTGCGTTGGCTTGACTTGTAGTGACTCACTAAGGATATCTTTGGTTGCAGTGCAATTTTTTTTGAATACAAATGCACGAAAGTGTAAATTAAAAATTGCAAATTCTCGATTTTAGTTTTGTTTTGGATTTTACTTTATTCTACTTCATGTCTTAATTTACTTTACTTTTACTGCAATAAAAAAAAAGCTAAAATTTGAAACAAAAATAAGTAATAATTTATACTCAAATCATTTGCACTGTCATAGTTTGGATCAATACAAATTTGTTTGCATTGCAATCAAAAGCAACCTAACGTTCAGTTTGGAAGGAATACAAATGCAAATATGTAGAGTGCAAAACCTAAGCTTCAAGAAGCATTGTGAATTGCAACACCAAATCCAAAGCTCCTCAATATGGGCCACATTCAACACAACCTCAGTCCCTGTGCTATACTGCCCCTATTTGTTCCCAAGAAAGATATATAGTTCGTAGTGAATGTGTGTTGATAGTCATGGCATTAACAAATCACTGTTAAGTACCGTTTGTCAATTCCTCACCTAGGGGAGATGTTAGACAAGCTGAGCCAAGCAATGATCTTCTCCAAACTTGACTTGAAGAATGGTTACAATCAAATCTGCATTAGTCACGGAAATGAATGGAAGACCACTTACATAACAAAAGAAGGCTTGTATGAATGTTTAGTTATACATGTCTGTCCCTCCAATGCACTCTCCACAATCATGTGAGTAATGGCATAGTTGTTACAACCATTCTTAGGGAAGTTTTTAGTAGTCTATTTTGATGATATATTGATGTAAAGTCGGAGAAGTATTGAACACACGCAACATCCGCATGAAGTCTTTAGGGTCCCGTTTGGGTTGTAGACATGATCAGAATTAGAATTAGAATCAGAATCAGATTTTGATTGTTGTTGTTTGGTTCATTTGGAGTTGGAATTAGAATCAACTGAAAATTTTAAATTTTGTATAACTATTTATTATTTCATTATTACTTTAATAATATTATTATATTTATAATTTATTATTTTACTATATTATTTTCTTAATATTCTATTATTTTTTTATTATTTTATAATTAATTAGTATTTTATTCTTAGTTTTATTAATTTTATTGATAATTTATTATTAGTTTATTCATATTCTATTATCTTTATTTATTATTTTAAAGTTAATTTATCATTATTTAATAATTAATATGTTAGTATTTTTATTATTACTTTAATTATATTATGGTTTTATTTATACTTAAATATTACTATTATTATTTTTATTATTAATCATGTTTAATAAATAATACCATTGCTTTTTATTATTACTTTAATAATATTTTTATATTACATTTTCTTAATAAATGATGATATTTGATTATATTTTGTTATTATTTTCTTCTTCTTGTCAAACTCTAGAATGGGAATCGAAACCCCATTCCTACCTTGCTGGTTCTAGAATCCTTCTTAAGTTCTCCTTGATCAAATGATATATAAAATTATAAATGCTTCTAGGTTTCAAGAGTTGACCCCTATCATGGTAGGAGAAAACTCTTGGGATGAAATATGAATTAAGTTTTGATGGACGCTAGAAGTCAACCAATGAATTTTAGGAATTGACTCATGAAACAAGGAGTAATCTTAAGGTTGAGTTATTTCCGAGGATAAGGAGTTGATCTCAGATTGCCAAGAGCCAACTCTTGGGTTATACAATTAATGTCTTGAGCCAAACTGTGAAAAGAGTACTAAAGAAGAGAAAAAAGAGAAAAGATTCATAAAGGAGGAAAAATTACTCGAGGAAATTGATATCCCAAATTTGTAAGCTAAAGCATAAAAAGGGAATCTGTTCAAAGCTCGATTTATATATATACATATATATATATATATATATATCGACAGAGTAATCTAAATATCAAGCTGATATAGTTGATGCTATAATATGTATATCAGATCCATGAGAGATCGAATATGTTCCTTT